TGCTGAGATGTTACCTAGCGTCTTGTACACTCTATGTAAGTCGTGGGATAAAGCGCTCTCAGTCTCATTTAGGCCTTGCACCACCATCTAAAACTTTGCTATAAGTTGGGAGATGATCCTTTTTCCTCACAACTGTAAGTGAGGAGTCAGATTGCCGCCTCACTGTCATGCTGTAAGTGACCACCTTTGCAGCTCAGCCCCTCCCTTAAAACTTCGAAACAAATGTGTATTACTCTGTATAATAACACTAATAATTACAAAAAAAAACATATTCTTAACCTTTCATCGAAATAAAAAAAATTAAATTGACAATAATCAATGTGGCAGGATAAGAAAAAAATTGACGGTAAATAAAATATACAAGAGATTTGTTCCTTTTTATCTTGGCTACCTTAAAACATAGACATTTTTTAAATTGTTTAATTGTATTCATAAAGTTGAATCTAATTTAACCATCCCTTGAAATAACAGCAAAATCGGTAGGATTTTTATTTTCTAGTATGTAAAGTGTAGAGGAATTATTGTAATCGTGCATGAAAACGAAATCGAGATTTTCACAAACCTTGATGTTTTACACGAAAATCTAAGTTTAGCAATTTTGTGTGTATGTGTGTGTGTGTTGTGTGTGTGTCTGTCTGTCTGTCTGTCTGTCTATGAACATTATAACTTGAGTACCGTTGCAGCTAAGTTGACGAAATTTCATATAAATTTGCATTTTTTTAATGACCTTTCAGCGATCCCAGATAAACAGGCAGTGGTACTTTTTCAACTGTCCTTGTCAGTTTTTCAAAAAAAAAAAAAAAAAAAAAAAAAAAAACATGTAACTTGAGAACTGTTTTAGATAGATAGACGAAATTTTACATTTAAGTAGCCTAAATTATCAAATGCTCTATTTTGTTGCATATTTTGAGTAAATTCCGCTGAATTTCCGATTTATCAAATAACGCATATGGATTTATCTTTAACTTGATTATTCTGTGTATCGTCCGTCACGGTGGGAAAATTGCGAACAAAATTTCGAACGCTTAGATCTATATCGTACCAAGTTATTTTAAATTTTTCACGTTGGTCGAACGCTTATATCGTACCAAGTTATTTTAAATTTTCACGTTGGTCGAAAGCTTATATCGTACCAAGTTATGTTAAATTTTCACGTTGGTCGAACGCTTATATCGTACCAAGTTATTTTAAATTTTTCACGTTGGTCGAACGCTTATATCGTACCAAGTTATTTAAAATTTTTCACGTTGGTCGAACGCTTATATCGTACCAAGTTATTTAAAATTTTTCACGTTGGTCGAACGCTTATATCGTACCAAGTTATTTAAAATTTTTCACGTTGGTCGAACGCTTATATCGTACCAAGTTATTTTAAATTTTTCACGTTGGTCGAACGCTTAGATCTATATCGTACCAAGTTATTTTAAATTTTTCACGTTGGTCGAACGCTTATATCGTACCAAGTTATTTTAAATTTTTCACGTTGGTCGAACGCTTATATCGTACCAAGTTATTTTAAATTTTTCACGTTGGTCGAACGCTTATATCGTACCAAGTTATTTAAAATTTTTCACGTTGGTCGAACGCTTATATCGTACCAAGTTATTTTAAATTTTTCACGTTGGTCGAACGCTTATATCGTACCAAGTTATTTTAAATTTTTCACGTTGGTCGAACGCTTATATCGTACCAAGTTATTTAAAAATTTTCACGTTGGTCGAACGCTTATATCGTACCAAGTTATTTAAAATTTTTCACGTTGGTCGAACGCTTATATCGTACCAAGTTATTTAAAATTTTTCACGTTGGTCGAACGCTTATATCGTACCAAGTTATTTAAAATTTTTCACGTTGGTCGAACGCTTATATCGTACCAAGTTATTTAAAAATTTTCACGTTGGTCGAACGCTTATATCGTACCAAGTTATTTTAAATTTTTCACGTTGGTCGAACGCTTAGATCTATATCGTACCAAGTTATTTTAAATTTTTCACGTTGGTCGAACGCTTATATCGTACCAAGTTATTTTAAATTTTTCACGTTGGTCGAACGCTTATATCGTACCAAGTTATTTTAAATTTTTCACGTTGGTCGAACGCTTATATCATACCAAGTTATTTTAAATTTTTCACGTTGGTCGAACGCTTATATCGTACCAAGTTATTTTAAATTTTTCACGTTGGTCGAACGCTTATATCGTACCAAGTTATTTTAAATTTTTCACGTTGGTCGAACGCTTAGATCTATTTTATTTTTAAAAATTCAGTATTTAATACAAGATTAAAAATCATATCTATATTCCGAGTTGGCAAACCCTTAGTGTTATAAAGAATATTCCGAGTTGGCAAACCCTTAGTGTTATAAAGAATATTCCGAGTTGGCAAACCCTTAGTGTTATAAAGAATATTCCGAGTTGGCAAACCCTTAGTGTTATAAAGAATATTCCGAGTTGGCAAACCCTTAGTGTTATAAAGAATATTCCGAGTTGGCAAACCCTTAGTGTTATAAAGAATATTTCGAGTTGGCAAACCCTTAGTGTTATAAAGAATATTCCGAGTTGGCAAACCCTTAGTGTTATAAAGAATATTCCGAGTTGGCAAACCCTTAGTGTTATAAAGAATATTCCGAGTTGGCAAACCCTTAGTGTTATAAAGAATATTCCAGAAAGTTTAGGGAAGATGACTCCCACTTATTGATGTTCAAGATAACACTAATAATTACCATACAACTCTTTACGACTAATTAGATGATAATATTAATAATCTTACTCTTTTAATTAAGACCCTTAACTCTATACTTTGATAGTCGAATTCGAAATGAAAGAAACTTTGCCAGTGGCGTCGCTGGGTCGGGTGTCACCCTGTGCGGCACATCTTGGTGTCACCCCCTCCAAAGAAACAACGTATATATATATATATATATATATATATATATATATATATATATATATATATATATATATATATATATATATATATATATATATATATATATATATGTAAGCCCTGCTAGGAGGGGATACCTAAAAATCTACCCTTCTAGGCTTATCTAACTAACTACTGTCCGGTCAGTGCAACCGTGGTAGAACCCACAGTGGTTAAACCCTAACCTTAGTCTAAATAATAAGCTACTAAAATAAAACAAAAAAACCTTTACAGTTAATAAAATTTATTTAACAAAATAATGACTAGAATCTAGTATAAAATTTATTCAACAAAATATGGAACCAAAAGTTATAAAAAAAGAATAGATAAAAACTGACACAAAACAGAACCAAACGAAACAAACTTTTTACATCAAACAAAACATTACGTTTGACCATTTGCTGGTGTTGCGCCGACTTATGATGTCTAGGATGGTCCAGGCCCTGACACACAGAAACCTCCCTTCATCCATTCTCGACATCCAAAAGTCCACACCAAACAAAACACTACGTAAAACCACTACGTACAATACATTACGTAGAACACAATACGTACACAACAAACTTTTTACACCAAACAAAACAATTCATATATAACAAAACAATTCATATATAACAAAACACCCAGCCAAGTTGCCCAAGCAACCTCACTCCACGCGTGCGGTGCGCCACGCAGAAATCTGACCCGACCTACATCTCGCCGCGGGTCAAAAAAAGGAAGAAAATCACTCCGAGCGGTCAATTTATACTGACCGCTTCGAGCGGAAGGGGGACCCCGTGCTGTTCCCCATTGGACCACCATGCACTCCCAGATTCGCAACAAATAAAATAATACGGTCAATTTATACTGACCGCTTCGAGCGGAAGGGGGACCCCGTGCTGTTCCCCATTGGACCACCATGCACTCCCAGATTCGCAACAAATAAAATAATACGGTCAATTTATACTGACCGCTTCGAGCGGAAGGGGGACCCCGTGCTGTTCCCCATTGGACCACCATGCACTCCCAGATTCGCAACAAATAAAATAATACGGTCAATTTATACTGACCGCTTCGAGCGGAAGGGGGACCCCGTGCTGTTCCCCATTGGACCACCATGCACTCCCAGATTCGCAACAAATAAAATAATACGGTCAATTTATACTGACCGCTTCGAGCGGAAGGGGGACCCCGTGCTGTTCCCCATTGGACCACCATGCACTCCCAGATTCGCAACAAATAAAATAATACGGTCAATTTATACTGACCGCTTCGAGCGGAAGGGGGACCCCGTGCTGTTCCCCATTGGACCACCATGCACTCCCAGATTCGCAACAAATAAAATAATACAAAAAAATCCATTCACCCGCTCACATATATATATATATATATATATATATATATATATATATATATATATATATATATATATATATATATATATATATATATATATATGTATATATAATTGTTGATTTGAACTTAAAAGAATAATTAATTTTAATTCATCATTAATGGAACTGGCAAAATGGCATTTTTTCCAGCACATTTTGCAAGTTCTTTTGCCCTGGTGTCACCCCCTACATGGTGTCACCCGGTGCGGTCCGCACCCCCGCCCCGCCCTCGTTACGCCTCTGAACTTTGTCGACAACCGAAAAACATGAAGGCAGCAAGACCACAATATAAGCCAAACAAGGTATAGCATTTGTTGTTGATAAGAGTTGATTGATTAGAAACAACTAATTATGATATTTCTATGAGAGCACGATCTCCAGCTTTGAAGACCCAGCTGCTGTACCGATGACTGACGGAATAAAACACTACATTACAGCGGCTTAGACTATAGTTTGCCGGCAGGTTATATTTGAATTAGCGGCTGGACGGATCAGTCATAGCGACGTGTGTCGGATAATATCCATGTTATTTTAGTCTGTGCTGATAAAGTTCGTTATGTTTTCTCTTATCAAATATATTGTGTGTCACAAATAAACGATCCAATATTATTAGATCAATAGAGTTCGAGCTGAAAACGAAGACAACTGATTTTCACACTCGATCAATAAGCGCACGTTTTGAACTTTTGTGTATTGGGGAAACTTAGTGATCTTTTTAGGTAAAAAAAATAATTAAAACACTTAGCAATCAAACAATTAATTCATTAGTAACAACAAAAAATCTACTACAAATTTTTACTATACTACCGCCCAAAAAGCCCGCGGCGCAAAATCGTACCCTGCCGGGGCGCTGGCGACGTGCCTAATTATATTTAGCGAACAACTCTAAAATCCAATCTGATGTATAGTCTTTCGCAATGTTTAAAACGAACGTAGGCACCATAGTGCTCACGGGATAGCCCAAGGCACCAAATTGCACCCTCCCTGGGCGCCAGCAAACGCATCTGATCAATGAAGTGAATGACTATAATGCCCCATCTTATCCATAGTCTATCAAACGTAGGCGTCATAGCGCTCACGGTAAAGACGGGGGCGCCAATTCGCATTCTGCCGGGGGCCGCCCGTGTGAAAATAAATTCCCCCCTCCACCCACTCTCATTAACTCCACACAGTTTTATAGCACTCGGATAGACGACGTCGAACCGCATCTGACTTTCATTTTTTAATATACCGTATATAGAGAAGAACCGCACCCTCCCGGGGGCGCAGACTATGCGAAATTTAAAAATATTTATTTTACAGAAACTTCCCCGAGAGTGTTCTAAGTTTGATGGCGATCGGATGAACGGCGTCAAACCGCAATCGACCTTTATTTTTATATACTGATATAGAGAAAAAACAAATGGCGCCCTACCGTGGCGCCGCCCATGTGAATTAAACTCTTCTCAACAACTTCCCAAAGTTTCACGGCGATGTGATAAGAGGTGTAGTAATGCATAAACACACACACACACACACATACAGTATACAGACACACATAAATAGCTTTTTAAATAGATAGAATGACAGACAGACAGACAGACAGACAGACAGACAGACAGACAGACAGACAGACAGACAGATAGATAGATAGATATATTTCATTATTAATATAACTATATAATATAACGTAGTAATTTCTTTTACACGAGTATACAAAACAAAATATTGTATACGCCTACTAGTAGGTCTAATAAGGCTACTTACAAGATCTACTTAGTACTTACAAAGTGGAGGTTTGATCGTGTTTAAGTCAACTGTAAACATAGACTTAGCTAAGGCTAGGCCTAATCTAAACATAGTATTGTTCCATGGGTGGGTGTGGAAGCAGGGATGAGATCAGAGTTTCTTCCAGGCATCTCCAGGCGAAGCCCCCCCCCCCCCCGAAAATTTTTTACCGCCCCCCCCCCCCCCGAACGAAATGAAATTTATATAATTTATATAGAAAATATATACTTTTAACAGTGTCCGCCCCCCCCCCCCCCCCCGAAGAAAGTCTACCGCCCCCCGAAAGTTCCAAGTGCCCCCCCCCCCCCCCGGAGAAAAAAGTCTGGAAGAAACACTGGATGAGATTGATTTTCAGCAATTCAGAAAAGGATCTTTGAGACTCCAAACCAAAAATTGAGAACCGTTTATGTAAGATCGTAGGACGTGTCACGACTCGTTGCCTTGGTATCGATGTCAATACGGGAAAGTAAAAACTAGAACCAAATCTAAAAAATGGATATAGAAAATATAAGACACAACGCAGAAATTACACCTTGAAACTTAATGTTTATGCACATTTATAAGGAATTTCCTAGAGGATTATTATTATTTCACTATGCAGACATTATTTTTTAAAATCAATAGGCTCTCAGCAGAATATTTGTAGCCGTGACCTACATTTCTAAATATGGATTAACACACTCGGAACGACGCTAGAAGAGGACGGACAGTCTCACTGAAAGGTAAAATAAACTTTCTAGGCCACATATCTGCTTCCCATTTTCATTTCATTGATTTTAATACTAGCATGCAATTTCTTACTATTGATACATTGAAAACAATTAATGTTTTAACACGAGCTTCAACGGCGTATTTTATAGTCCTAGTAGTTAAACTCTAACACTAACACACTCTAAGTATAGACGTTTACTGCAGTTTATACTTTAGGCTTAGATTGGTTGTTTTTTTTTGTTAGATCTAATAACTTACTAAGTCGTCTAAATATGTAGATTATTTATCATTATAATTAATAGAATTAGGAATAGTTTTGTCAAAGGTGTGTCTGTCTGGTGTGATTGGGGATTGACAGTCAGTGTGGCGTAATAAGGTTTGGTGTCACCTGGTGCTGTGAATGAGGCTGCCCCTAGTGGCGTCTCTAGGTAAGGTGTCATCACAAGATGTCACCCACCCCTTCCCTCACAAAAGATTATATATATATATATATATATATATATATATATATATATATATATATATATATATATATATATATATATATATATATATATATATTCGGGGGGGGGGACGAAGACGACACTGATAAAAGTATATATTTTCTATATAAATTTTGTTTGGGGGAGGGGGTAGACTTTCTTTATGGATCCCACTCTCCCCCTCCCCCCCCCCCCCCCACCACCCCCTTAACTGATATCTGGAAGTAACTCCGACACCGACTTCTACTTTTAATGTATATGAGAATGAGTTCTATGCAGACCAAAGATATTCATCCAACCTATGAATATAAAAGATCTTTACCGTGTATGGTTATGTGGTACTAAACTTATTATTATTAACCCATTCCATTGCAAAACATATACATTTTTGTTAAATAATACTAAATTTAAGAACCAAAATTATATAAGGCATGCATTAATTGTTTTAAAAGGCTTGGCAACTAACTACGTGTCAAAAAAATAGTGTAAAAAAAAAAAAAAATATATATATATATATATATATATATATATATATATATATATATATATATATATATATATATATATATATATATATATATATATATAATCTTGACTAAACAAGACTCATGAATGACCTCCCCAGATTTTTGTATCACTATGGCTGACATGACGAGATTAAACGAGGATCTAAAGGTCAAGGCCAGAATGAGCAAAGCTCACGCCAAAGATCCTCTTGAGTTAGTGCAAGCTCAGTTCCTGGCTCGAGGGGCTAGTGGTATCAAAGGAGCTCAAAGGTATGTCACACCCCAAGCTGACCACAAGCATATCTGACCCCATGTCTCTATATCTGACCCCATGTCTCTATATCTGACCCCATGTCTCTATATCTGACCCCATGTCTCTATATCTGACCCCATGTCTCTATATCTGACCCCATGTCTCTATATCTGACCCCATGTCTCTATATCTGACCACAAGCATATCTGACCCCATCTCTCTATATCTGACCCCATGTCTCTATATCTGACCACAAGCATATCTGACCCCATGTCTCTATATCTGACCCCATGTCTCTATATCTGACCCCATGTCTCTATATCTGACCACAAGCATATCTGACCCCATGTCTCTATATCTGACCCCATGTCTCTATATCTGACCCCATGTCTCTATATCTGACCCCATCTCTCTATATCTGACCCCATGTCTCTATATCTGACCCCATGTCTCTATATCTGACCCCATGTCTCTATATCTGACCCCATGTCTCTATATCTGACCCCATGTCTCTATATCTGACCCCATGTCTCTATATCTGACCACAAGCATATCTGACCCCATGTCTCTATATCTGACCCCATGTCTCTATATCTGACCCCATGTCTCTATATCTGACCCCATGTCTCTATATCTGACCCCATGTCTCTATATCTGACCCCATGTCTCTATATCTGACCCCATGTCTCTATATCTGACCCCATGTCTCTATATCTGACCACAAGCATATCTGACCCCATGTCTCTATATCTGACCCCATGTCTCTATATCTGACCCCATGTCTCTATATCTGACCCCATGTCTCTATATCTGACCCCATCTCTCTATATCTGACCCCATGTCTCTATATCTGACCCCATGTCTCTATATCTGACCCCATGTCTCTATATCTGACCACCAAGTTTCTGTGCTATTCAATCAGAGTGAGAGTGTAAAAACGAAAGAAAACTTGTTTAACTGTAACATTGTGAAGCACCTGTGACACTACTTGCAAATAGCTGGAATGTTAACCCAGTAGCTAACCAGGTGGTCGTAATGACGCATCTGTAGGGTAGATGGTTTCATAGCACATATGTGACATGTGTGTTCGCTCCATACAGCACATATGTGACATGTGTTAGTTTGTTACCAGGGAACCCCGAGAAATTAAAAAGGGGCTCCAATCGCTAGATGGAAATTTTCCAATTTTCCCCATCAAACCCTAACCCAAGACGTACAATATAGCCAGGCCTGCAATGAATTTTTAAAAAAAAAACGATAATTGAAAGTATTTTTTAGGATATAAAACTTAATGAAGGCATTCATTAAAATTATAAACCAAAATATCAGGTTTCATTGTAAATAATGGTTACAGTATAAGCAACTTCTTTAAGCTGTGCATCTTTATGTCATTATTCAGTTCACTTAAAACATCAGGTTCCATTGACTTCAATGTGTGTTATGCTTTGCAAGCTATTCTTAATGTACTTACGTGTAGAGAATGATCTCTGGCCAGCTACGTGCTACACAACAAACGATTGCATGTTTGGCCAAAGAAATTGTTTTTATGTAATGCCGATGAAAAGCAACACACAGTAATATTTTAATTTGGAATAATTGATAATGACAAGTAGAGAGTAAGAAACTCTAATGAAGAAAACTGTTTTAACTAAATGTGTTTTTAGTAGAGTTAACAAAACATTTCGTAAAAAAAGTTTTAATAACAAGCTTTTATGTAATAATGCACTAAAAAGAAGAAAATTAATTATACACTACTATTTAAATAACTATATAGAAAGAGCTTGTTATTAAATCGTTTTTTTAAAATAAAAGTCGAGAATGTAGATCTGATCAGTTTCTCTGTGGGCATTTGGCGCACTTCGTGCGTGGAGGCATTTTTTTTTTTTTTTAAATTATTTTTATGTGTGATTTGTATGGAAGGTAATGGTGGAGGCCCTATGCTCCATAAGGGGCAAAGAGGACTAAGTCAAGTAAGTCAAGTGATTTGTATGAAAGCGACTGCCGATGTTCCTCTTTTTTTTTCTTTTTCGTCTAAAACGAGATAGCGGACATCGGCAGGTCTGGTACACACGTGGTGTTTTTTTTTTTTGAAGATTTGAAATTTAGTTTTCTATTTCCTAAACCCTTAGCGTGTGTTTTAGACCATGTGGTTTAGATCGTTATGTTTAGGAGGGTTTCCTAAACTGGTTTGAATGCGTTGAGGTTGCTTTTGCAACTTGGCTGGGTGTTTTGTATGTATTGTTTTGTATGTGGCGTTTTATTTGCTGTTTTGTGTGTTTGGTGCGGATGTAAGAAGGCGTTCGGTTGCCGTAGGGGATAGGAAGGTTGTCTGTGTGGTCATGGCCTAGACTATCCGAGGCATCGAAGGTACATAATATTCCATCGAAAGTTGTGTGTTTTCTTTGTTTAGTGTTTGATTAGACGTTTGTTTAGGATGTTCTGGATTTGAAATGATGTTTAAATGTTTTTATTTATGGTTCCATTTTTAAATGTAAATAAAACTGTAAGCTTATTTTTTTTTTTTTTTTATCTAGTCTAAGGTTAAGATTTTAACCACCGTGTGTTTTACCACGGTTGCACTGACCGGACAGTTTATTTAGATACGCCTAGGAGAGTAGATAGTAGTTATCTCCCCCCCCCCCAGCAAGGCGTACACACACACACACACACACACACACATATATATATATATATATATATATATATATATATATATATATATATATATATATATATATATATATATATGAGTATCATAAAAAAGCAATTTTACTCTACCAAATTCGTAAAGCACTAAGGGGCATATGGATTTTGAAGAAAAAAAAATATATGTAGGGTAGTTACGAAAACAACTGTCAACAAGGACAAGGTCAATGCCAAAACGGAATCTAGCTATAATGTGTAAACAACACAAACACCACAATTGATAACAACGTAATAGTTGTCTGTCAGCAAGGCCAAATTTGAACCGAGTTATTATGTGTGAGCGGGTAATGTATTATTTGTATTATTATTATATTTTTGTGTGCGAATCGGTGGGTGAATGTTTTACTGGACTTCGGCTACGGGGTATTTAAGGCCGAATGACCGCTTGTATTAGTCCTTATTACCTTATAGTCAGAATGTGGATCTGGTCAGTTTCGATGTGGGCGTTTTGGCGCACCACGTGTGTGGAATGGGGTTACATTTGCAACTTGGCTGTGTGTTTTGTATGTTTTGTTTTGTTGTTTTGTTTTGTATGTTGTGTTTTGTATGTTGTGTTTTTATGTTGTGTTTTGTTGTTTTGTTTGTTTAGTGTTTGGTTCGATAGTTTTGTTGTTTGGTTTGTTTAGTGTTTGGTTCGATAGTTTTGTTGTTTTGTTTGTTTAGTGTTTGGTTCGATAGTTTTGTTGTTTTGTTTGTTTCGTGTTTGGTTCGATAGTTTTGTTGTTTTGTTTGTTTAGTGTTTGGTTCGATAGTTTTGTTGTTTAGTTTGTTTAGTGTTTGGTTCGATAGTTTTGTTGTTTTGTTTGTTTAGTGTTTGGTTCGATAGTTTTGTTGTTTTGTTTGTTTAGTGTTTGGTTCGATAGTTTTGTTGTTTTGTTTGTTTAGTGTTTGGTTCGATAGTTTTGTTGTTTTGTTTGTTTAGTGTTTGGTTCGATAGTTTTGTTGTTTTGTTTGTTTAGTGTTTGGTTCGATAGTTTTGTTGTTTTGACATGTTTTGGTGAGGATGTTGCGCATATTTTTGTGCGTTTTTTTCCGTCTGGGAACCGAGGGTTTGTATTTTTCATCATACTCTAAATGAAATACGCCGGTGCTTATATCCTCTCCTATACAGAGTTTTTTCGAGGCATCTCTTCGGGGGGGCGAAGCCCCCCCCCCCCCCCCCCGAAAATTTTTTACCGCCCCCCCGAACGAAATGAAATTTATATAATTTATATAGAAAATATATACTTTTAACAGTGTCCGCCCCCCCCCCCCCCGAAGAAAGTCTACCGCCCCCCCGAAAATTTCAAGTGCCCCCCCCCCCCCGGAGAAAAAAGTCTGGAAGAAACACTGCTCCTATATTGGCGAGGAATGAACACTGTGCTTGAGGGGGCCTCATATCCCCATCCGGACGAAATAAGCACTACCATTAGAATAAATTGTCAATAACTATCTCCAACTATTTCTCAGACGATTTCGTATCATGGATGATGACAGTAACCGGAAGTTGTCATTCGAAGAATTCACCAAAGGTCTTCGTGATGTTGGCATCTCGCTACAAAAGGACCAAGAGATTGAACTGTTTCGTACGTTTGACAGGGACGGAGAAGGAACTATCAACTTTGACGAGTTTCTCAGGACTGTTCAAGTAAGTTACTACTGTCAGTCAGGTTGGTTGGAAACTGCAACAATAAGCATGGGGCAAGACCATACTACCTGTTCAATTAGTAATTAGCTATGATTACACTTAATTAACTTAATATAGTTTAAAAGGCGCACATTTTATTGAACTACTACTGACATGTCCTATTAAACATTATTTTTAAGCCTAAGATGAATGACAGAAGAAGAAAACTCGTTGAAGCTGCATTTGCAAAAATGGACAAAACAGGTGGCTGTCAATTCAATATATATATATATATATATATATATATATATATATATATATATATATATATATATATATATATATATATATATATATGTGTGTGTGTGTGTGTGTGTGTCTATATTTACAACAAGCGTCTATGGGAAATTAGACATTTGTCAAGCAATGTGGAGATCTGACATGCATAAATCGCTCGAATACATTTACAAAAAATGATCCTTTCTTACATTTTTTGGCCTGTATTACAAAACATCATTACAACAAATAAAAACATCAACACCCCCCTCCCCATCCCCTGTTGGGTTATAATAGTGTTATAATGACAAAATAGAAATAATATAATCCTAGGTACTGAATTTTTGAAAAAACGAGAAACCTTTTTTTTTTTTTTAAACTAGCATTAGTTTTTGATGTGTTGAAGAATGTGCTGATGATTAGAACATTTGAAGAATGTGTTAATGGTTAGAACATTTGAAGAATGTGTTGATGATTAGAACATTTGAAGAACGTGTTGGTGATTAGAACATTTGAAGAATGTGTTGATGATTAGAACATTTGAAGAATGTGTTGATGATTAGAACATTTGAAGAATGTGTTGATGATTAGAACATTTGAAGAATGTGTTGATGATTAGAACATTTGAAGAATGTGTTGGTGATTAGAACATTTGAAGAATGTGTTGGTGATTAGAACTTATCCTACAGGGGATGGTGTGATTACCGTCAAAGATATTGCTCTGTGTTACAACGCCAAGAAACACCCCAAGTTTTTGAGTGGGGAGTGGTCGGAAAACAAAGTCTACCAGGAGTTTCTCACTTGTTTTGAAGCTGAGGGCCATGTGGATGGATCGGTAAGGAAACATTTCAACAAACTTACATGCATAACACGCAACATTTCAACAAACTTACATGCATAACACGCAACATTTCAACAAACTTACATGCATAACACACAATGCAAATTCTAACCATCTTACGCGCATAACACGCAACATTTCAACAATCCTACATGCATAACACGCAACATTTCAACAATCCTACATGCATAACACGCAACATTTCAACAATCCTACATGCATAACACGCAACATTTCAACAATCCTACATGCATAACACGCAACATTTCAACAATCCTACATGCATAACACGCAACATTTCAACAATCCTACATGCTTACAAAAGTGAAATACCTGGTTATAACTTAGGCTTGATGAAAATAAACAGAAATGTAGCCTTAAACTCAACACATTATTTTCAAATTCTCTAGATTTGCAACTTTTATAACATTGATTCTAAAAATATTAAATTTCTGAATGATTTTTAGGCTTAAGCTTTTATTTTAATTTTTAACACGTTTTTAAAACGTTTTTCTTAACTCAGCTTCGCGTTTGTTTGTTTGTTTGGTTGTTTGGATGTTTGTTGTTAAAATTGACATCGAAAATTAGCCCACTTCTGATTGCTCTAGAGACCTGAAATTTGGCATGCATGCTACTTTCGCCTAACAATTTCAGATGCAATCATCAAAACTAGCAATTAGTGACCGTAATTAGCTTAATTTAATTACGCCCCAAGGACCATAAAATTGAGGACATGATTTCTAAAGATACCGACAAGACTGGAGGCCTATTGACACAGTTACTTCGGCCCCAATCGATGTGAGCGCGCTGGCCGTGATCGTATAGTGGTTAGTACTTCGCGTTGTGGCCGCGACAACCCAGGTTCGAATCCTGGTCGCTCAAGATTTTTAGTCCGTGTATTTATAAACACTTTTTTAAAAACCACGTTTTTCATGTGTAGCAACGGACTTAAAAGGAGAAAATAAAATACTTAAAAAAACTTTTTAAAAAACCACGTTTTTTATGTGTAGCAACGGACTAAAAAGGAGAACGGACACGGTAACACATTGTTAACGGTGACACGGTTGGTACGCTGGGCATGCTAAAATACACATAAACACGTTTTTCCTTAACTCAGCTTCGCATTTATTTGTTTGTTTATGGGAGATTTGATCACGTGATTCGTGAGTAGATCTCCACGCCAGCAACGTAAATTACACCCTTTCTCTGTTTAAAGCGTATCGGTCGCTCAAGATTTTTTTAGCCCGTGTATTTAAAAACACTTAGTCAAGTCATACTTAATCAAGTGATTAGATAAAGTAGAAAATAAACTATATAAAAAACTTTTTAAAAACCACGTTTTTCATGTGTAGCAACGGACTAAAAAGGAGAAAATAAAATACTTAAAAAAAACTTTTTAAAAAACCACGTTTTTCTTGTGGACTAAAAAGTAGAAAATAAATTTTCATACATTTGATGACAAAAAACGTGGGTCGGGCAGATGGGTCGGGAAATTTGATGGTGAACGTACCCACGTTTTTTGTCATCAAATGTATGAAAATTTATTTTCTACTTTTTAGTCCACAAGAAAAACGTGGTTTTTTAAAAAGTTTTTTTTAAGTATTTTATTAAAATTATTTTTACGGTCCCCTTGATTGCAAAATCTAAAAATAAATAAATAAACCGTGAGTAATCTCCCCTAAACTTTCGCGAATATTCTTATATGAAACAACAGGGGATGGCAACTCGGGATATAGACATGATTTATAATTCATTTTAAATACTTATACTTTTTTTAAATAGAATAAAATCTCGTAGAAAAAATAATTGCACACCAAGTGAACGCCAAATAAAATGTGCATAATAGTATTAATAGTGCGGAATATTATTAGTACTTTATAATTTCACATGTGGTTTTTGAGAAATCGGAAATAGTGAAAATTACTACTTCCGGTCAATGGAAATTACTCAAAATTTGAAAGAAGGCAGAAAATTAGATCTTTTACTTAATGTGAAATTTCATTTATCTATCTGAAATAGTACTCAAGTTATAGGCTTTTGAAAAATTCAAAGTAGAAAAAGTTCCGGTTATCGGAAATCGCTCAAAAGTCGATACGGATCTATGATTTTGATATAATGCTTAAATATGAAATTTCATCAACGTAGCTGTAATGGTACTCAGATTATCGTGTTTACAGACACACACATACATACACACACACATACAGACAAGATTGCAAAAATATGTTTTTCCGACTCAGGGAGCTGTAAAACGTCGAGATTTGCAAAAATCTCGAATTGTTTTTTTTTTTTTTTTGCACGATTACAAGACTTTCTCTATACTGCGTATAATCGAGAAAGTAATAAACCGGGAGTGATCTCCCCTAAACTTTCTCGAATATTCTTATATAAAACAACAGGGGATGGGAACTCGGGCAATAGACATGATTTTTAATCCATTTTAAATACTTTTAAAAATAGAATAAAATCTCGTAGACAAAAGAATTGCACACCAAGTGAACGCCAAATAAAAAAGTGCATACTAGTGCGCAATATTATTAGTACTTTAAAAATTTGCATTAGTTTTTTGAGAAATCGGAAGTAGCGTAAATTACTACTTCCGGTCAAGGGAAATTACTCAAAATTTAACAGAAGGTAGAAAATTAGATCTTTTACTCACATGTGAAACTTCATTTATCTATCTGAAATAGTACTCAAGTTATAGGCTTTTGAAAAATTCAAATTAGAAAAAGTACCACTTCCGGTTATCGGAAATCGCTCAAAAGTTGATACGGATCTACGATTTTGATAAAATACTTATATATGAAATTTCATCAACCTAGCTGTAACGGTACTCAAGTAATTGTGTTTACACACAGACACACACAGAAACACACACAGACACACAGACATACAGGCAGAATTGCAAAGCCCAGTTTTTCCGACTGGATTACGCATAAAACCTTTTAATTTTGATAAATCTGGATTGATAATTTTTGCCCGATTAAAATAAGTCCTCTATACTTCGGATGTGAAGAAGGACTGAGGTGTAATACGGTGAAAATTGTTAAAATTTCAAGTGATTTTTGTGCACGATTACAATACTTTCTCTATACTTCGTATATACGAGAAAGTAAAATACGTTTTTAATCCATGTCAGCAATATGATGGAAGGATTCTCGTCAACTCGGTCGCCTCCCTTACTGTTTGTTGTGGCATGGATTGCTTGAATGGCATATTAAATTGCACTTAATTTTCTTTTTAACCGTAACCATAAAGTGCTTTTCCTCATCCTAACTCTAGCCCTAACCCAAACCTAACCCTAAACTAACCCTAACCTATCCCTAACCTAACCCTAACTCTAGCCCTAAACTAAATCTAACCCTATCCTAACCCTATCCCTAAACTAAACCTAACCCTATCCCTATCCCCAAAACTAACCTAACCTAACCCTAACAAAGGTGGCAGAATGTTCTGGCGAGAGAGAGAGAGAGTGTATTCTACACTCTGCCTGTTATTTTGTATTGTATAGAATGACTAAGAAATGTATTTCATAATTTGAAAACCCATTTCAGGCATTGCATACATTGCCTAGGTATTCAATCAAATGCTGCTAAAATATACACATTGCGTCTTGAACCATAGTTAGTTGACATGTGTTTGTGTAACCCTAACTGCTAAGTCTCGGACCCTAGTAAGTTGACATGTGTGTGTGTGTGTGCGTGTAACTGCATTGAATTAACCTTGTTTTATTCTGCCAGGTGGAGTTGGAAGAATTTGTGTCCTACTATGCAGCTATCAGCTGTAGCATTGATAACGACGCTTACTTTGATCTGATGATGCGAAACAGCTGGGGGAGTGATCTCATAGTTTAGGTTTGTTGGTGCATTGATCTTATAGTTTAGGTTTGTTGGGGGAGTGATCTCATAGTTTAGGTTTGTTGGGGGAGTGATCTCATAGTTTAGGTTTGTTGGGGGAGTGATCTCATAGTTTAGGTTTGTTGGTGCATTGATCTCATAGTTTAGGTTTGTTGGGGGAGTGATCTCATAGTTTAGGTTTGTTGGGGGAGTGATCTCAGAAAACTTCAGAAATAAAATATTCATTTTTAAGGTACCTATTTCTAAAACAAGATAAAGCGAACAGTTATACATTACTTCGAATTAGGTGACTTGTACAGATAGTTCTTGTACAGATAAGCCGCGCCACTCATTCAAAAAGTGCACGCATAAAAAGTTAATCCCCGCCACTTTTGCCAGTTCTAATTTAATTCACGTAATCAACCTTAAGGATTTGGGTTAAAGGTACCAAAATACAGACCTTTTCAGGCAAATTATTAATATATCCCAATTTCACCCTCTGCAATAAAACCTAAAAGTACAAGTATCATACTCTTTTTTATATTTTTTTAAGGTCGCGTTGTTACATAGGAAGTAATATTTTGAATGTAATGGTTTTTGTTTCAGAAATGTTTTTGCTTGTGTGAGGCTCTAGACTCCAGCACCCTAGCAATGATGTGTCTATGATTTTATTACTTTATTTATTTTTTAAAGAGCATTCCAAGTTTTGAAGAATTATGTAGCCTTCTGGTAGGCTGTGCTGTTAAACTTTTATTATTTCCTCCAATTTTTAAAATTAGAGGCTACTGGTTGTAGCAAAAGTTTAGCAAAAGGAAGTCAAAGTAGTTGAAACAAGAAAAATAACACTTGTAAGTTAATGTAAGTCATTAAGTTAAGGGAAAATTCGAGCTGGGTCTAATGTACCAGTAAACTACCTTTACACTTGCGGCATGTATACTGTACATGTCTGGAAAAACTAATTTCGTTGTATGTAAATTATATCAGAACATGTATGGGGGGGGGGGGCTACTCACTTTTTGAGAAGTTTTTTTTATACGTGTATAGTATACATGTCGCAAGTGTAAACGCTGTGCTTTATAGGAGAAATGTCTGGCTCAGACAGTTTCAACTCCATAGATCTGACAAGCTGCAGTCATGTGTCGATCTGACAAGCTGCAGTCATGTGTAGATCTGACAAGCTGCAGTCATGTGTGGCCCATAGATCTGACAAGCTGCAGTCATGTGTAGATCTGACAAGCTGCAGTCATGTGTGGCCCATAGGTCTGACAAGCTGCAGTCATGTGTGGATCTGACAAGCTGCAGTCATGTGTGGCCTAGTTCAAAAGGGGGCTCTGAATCTTATCACATTTAATTAACAGAATGACAATTTTTGATCGACCTTTTATATTTTAAGGGTCTAAATATGCTCATTTTGCATCAGAAATAGCATGGAACAAACTTCACTGGGATTGCTAACAGTTGCTTAGTTTGATCATCATAAGTACAGCAATTGACCTAATCTAACTGATACTAATTTATTTTTTATTGAAATACTTGATCCAATGTCAAGCAGTTTGTTCTCTTGATGCTAGAGCATGGAGAAATGGACCATTCATCGTTAATAGCAAATAGCAGTAATTGATGTTTTATTTTAATGTTTATGAATGTGTTTGCAATAGATAGGAAATGTAATATGTTCCAAAAATGGGGGCGGGGGGTAGTACTGTGTACAGCACACCTCCACGACAGCCATTGGATAGGCTCTACTAGCAGGCTACAAGAAAGTTGTCATATTTTCAGTGGATAGGCTCTACTAGCAGGCTACAAGAAATTTCTCATATTTTCAGTTTGCGTATCAGATTGTATCTGAAACTTGTAATATTTGCACACAAAATTTTAACTGTGAGTGTCTAATGTCTGGCATTTGCTCACTCTGTTTGAAATGACCAGTGGACTAAATGTTGCCTTCATGAGCTGCGCTGACTGACAATTGAGATCAAGAACCATTCAAAGAATTTTGATTAAAATAGATGACAATAAATGACATAGTTCCTAGCTCATGTAATTTAAGTGTCTGGTCCTAAAACTTTCATAGATATCGAATTAGAGTGTCTAAAACTTTCATAGATATCGAATTAGAGTGTCTAAAACTTCCATAGATATCAAATTAGAGTGTCTAAAACTTTCATAGATATCAAATTAGAGTGTCTATTCGTACTTCACTACCCAATAGCCTTCAGAGGGCTATTTTTGTGATGTACAAATGGCTAGGGGGTTATTTGTACATTGGCCAATCAGATTAGGGGTCGTCCATAAATGACGTCACACTCGTGAGGGGGAGGGGGGTCGGTAATTTTGTGACGGTGTGTGATGAGGGAGGGGGGGGTGTTCAGTTGGTGAGACGTCACATTTTTGCATTAACAAAAAGTATTGTTAGAAAACGAATTTTAGACGTTATTTCGCGTTTTAGAAAACTGTTTTAATAAATTGTAATAGGAATTGATTAAAATACTCTATGTTGAGAGAGGTCAGACAAGATTTTGGAAAAATATCGATGTTTTAAGAAAAATTCAACAGCAATTTTGAGGGTGGGGGGGGGGTGTTGTAGGCTGAGGTGTGACGTCATTTAAGGGGGGGTCTGGCTTTTTGTGACGATGTGTGACGGAGGGGAGGGGGGGAGGTAAAAATAGTCTAAAAACGTGACGTAATTTATGGATGACCCCTTACTGGAAGGTATCTGTACACTGACCAATCAAAGTAGTGTAAAATCCCACCCAGTTTGAGCCTTTCTACTCACGATACTAGTCTAGAGCCGCACACTCGACAAGAAAGTTTGCTACTTGATGGACGCCATTATTTTGAATCGTTTTGCCTTAAACAGCTGTTATGACAGCTACAAAAAGTTGGAGGCTGCTATTAAAGTTTTGGATAGTAGCTAACAAATCAAACATTTATTAAAATTTAACATAACAAAAAACAGTTTTATAATTTACCAGTAAATAGAACAAATGAAATGGTACCATATCTATAGAAGTAAGAGACATAACTTATCACTGGGAACAACGTGGCTACCTTGTACGTGTAGTAAACAAATAGCTGCTTTATATAAAAATTTCTGCAAAAAATCAACTAATCTCTTGTCAACATCTCTTGTATTGATATGTGTTTTTATTACAAACAACAAAAAAGACTGCAAAATTTAAAACTACTTGTTGATTAACAGCTATGAGTCATCCTTAAGATTTTAAATCGATTTCTACCTCCCTATTATCACCAATGCCAGACCCCCATTCTTATAGTAATCCTGAATTATCGTTTGGTGTCTATATATTTTCCATATAATATTGACCTACGTAATTTATTTGAATATAATTATTCAATAATAATTTTAAATAGGCCTAATTAATAATAATATTAATAAATAATTATTCAATAATTGTTCTCTAAAGACAGTAGATTCCACAGCTAGGACCTAGGCACAAACCTAGCCAATGTTGAAGCAAGGGGGGATATGCCTAGCTCGGATTGGTCAGTGTACTTCACTACGAATAGCCTCATGATGACTATTCGTATTCAGTGTTTCTTCCAGACTTTTCTCTCCGGGGGGGGGGGGGCACTTGAAATCTTCGGGGGGGGGGGGGCGGTAAACTTTCTTCGGGGGGGGGGGGCGGGACACTGTTAAAAGTATATATTTTCTATATAAATTATATAAATTTTATTTCGTTCGGGGGGGCGGTAAAAATTTTTCGGGGGGGCTTCGCCCCCCCCCCCCCCCCGAAGAGATGCCTGGAAGAAACTCTGTTCGTATTGAGGTACGAATAGCCGCAGCCAAAATTATTGTGTGAAAATTGAGTGTAGAAATAGATCCAGAAACTGTTGATGTTACATAGAATATAAATATATTGCAATGCTTGAATCTAGAAACTGTGTTTAATACACTTGCAAGTGGTTGACTAAATAGAGGACTTAATAAACAAAAAGATTTGTAAACAGGCTATTAATATTACAATTTAAATTTTATTGTCAGTTTTTAGATATATTGAACCTGGTCCGTTTCTTACTCGTTAGCTAGATCTAGATCTTTCAGAGAACATCACCAGAGTTTCTTCCAGGCATCTCTTCGGGGGGGGGGGCTTTATCCCGCCCCCCGCCACCCCCCGAAATTTTTTTTACCGCCGCCCCACCCCAAACGAAATGAAATTTATATAATTTATATAGAAAATATATACTTTTAACAGTGTCCGCCCCCCCCCCCGAAGAAAGTCTACCGCCCCCCCGAAAATTTCAAGTGCCCCCCCCCCCCCCCCCGGAGAAAAAGTCTGGAAAAAACACTGAACATCACTAGTCACATATTAGAGTTATAATTATTATATTTATTATTTAAAATTCATATTAAGAAATACGAATGCAATTTTGAAATGATCACTATCTTATTTGTAATTAGATATTTTTACTTTACATTTTTTAAATTTCTAAAGAATGTATGTAGGCCTACCTATCAATGAAATATCAATACACTTCAAAAATAAATTCTAATTAAACTAAAACAGTAGGCCCTAAATTAAAAAAAAAATACTATTATTAAATATTTAATCTAACCATAATTTAGGGAGTGTTTTTATTTTCTTAAGAGAGATGCTTAAATTGTAGTTGAATTTTAATTAAAATTTGTTAACCCATCATTTCAAAAACAGAACTACCATTTTTCTAATTATCTACCCGTTCTTAGATAAGTAAACCTTGAATGACGTTTTTTATATCTTTAAGGTACTTTACATTTGCAGTAAGGGGGGTCGTCCATAAATGACGTCACACAGTAGGGGGGATCCGTAATTTTATGGCGGTGTGTGATGAGAGGGAGGGGGTTCAGATGGTGTGACGTCACTTTTTTGCATTTAAAAAAGCAATGTTAGAAACGAGTTTTAGCCTTTATTTCGCGTTTCAGAAAAGAGTTTTAATGAATTGTAATAGGAATTGATCAAAATAATCTATGCCCCGAGATGCCTGGAAGAAATTGATTAATTTAATGGTGAGAGCGTGTGGTCGATAGCTTGAAATGCCTGAAACTGAAATAAATAAATCCAACCTCTCTAAATAGGCCTGCATCGCATTTGGAAACTAACTGAAATAAATAAATCCAACCTCTCTAAATAGGCCTGCATCGCATTTGGAAACTAACTAAAATAAATAAATCCAACCTCTCTAAATAGGCCTGCATCGCATTTGGAAACTAACTGAAATAAATAAATCCAACCTCTCTAAATAGGCCTACATCGCATTTTGAAAGTAACTGAAATAAATAAATCCAACCTCTCTAAATAGGCCTACATCGCATTTTGAAAGTAACTGAAATAAATAAATCCAACCTCTCTAAATAGGCCTACATCGCATTTGGAAACTAACTTGAATCTCTTTGATCTGACCTGAGGTGAAAATCAGTTTCAGTTTCACGGACTATATTTGACATCCACCCTAATTTTTTTTTTAATGCTATTGTCGTTTGTATGTTTTTGTCTGAAATATTTGTAACTTTATAATTTCAATGTTCATCAATAAATATAAATATTGTAAACCATCTAGATCTGGGCTGCTTATTTCTATTTAATTTCAGCTAATGCCAAGCAATTGGGTGTTGCAGTATTACTTTGCTATATAACATGCTAATTTTCAAAAAATTATATAAATTAATTGGCAAGCGCTAAAATTATGTTTTAGCTGTCAAAAATTAAAACAAAATATTAAGTATCGATTTTTATGTGTTTTGAATTTTTTAATTCAAGATAAACTATTGAAAATAATTTTTGAAATAATTAATAATATTAATTCATTAATCCATTCCAAGTTTTGGAAAAACTTCCGCCAGGGAGAGATTAAATTTTCCAGACTAAATGAATTTTTGTGATCATGATTACCATTGATAAACAAACATGGCGGCTGCTTGTTTCTTGACTTCGCTTCAACATTTTAAACTCATCATGAACTCCCAATATGCAACAAATATACAAAAGTTCAAGTCTATTGTGTACGTACGGTTGGGAAGTAATGTATTTGCATTCAATTCTGACAGAAAAGTTTTGTGGCGGTAAGTAAATTAATTATTTTTTAAAGTTAATGTAAGACCTAGCAAGCCTAGCCCCAGGGGACATCACTCCTACTGAACGATTTGGTAAACAGTGAACACTTATCTAGACCGTCAAGTTCGATGACAGAATATTACAAAAATAGATCTAAAATCTAAATCTACCTGATCCTAAATATATAATATCTGAAGGCCTATATCTACTTTATTACTTTATTAACTATACTGATCCCTCTAAATAAAAAGTGACAGTACAGTAGTGATTAGATTTAGATTCGTACTAGATTCTAGACTCTAGATTGAAGATTGAATTCTAGATCTAGATTTTAGATTCTAGTGTGTGTTTGTCGAGTAGAGAGCTAGATCTAGTTGTAAGTTATCTAATCTATCTACTATCTAGATCTAGTTACTCTAGTCTAGTATTACCTATCCCAGTCTGCCCCGTCTAGTGGCGTCTAAGCTAAGGCAAGGCCTAAAAGGTGTG